CAGGATTGAAAAGTTTACCTTTTTGTCGACTGTCTAAATTTTCTTTATCAAACTTGCTTTTGATAGGCTTAACAAAAAAGGTTGATTGATGAATTCTATATCAGTATAAAGGCAAAGGAAAATGAGTGTCATTCACCTCTTGCGAGTAAAGTAGACACGAGAGCTAGTGACCGAATAAACTTATTGATATTCAAAATAATTATTATTCTGAAAGGCATTAGTTTATCCCCACTTTAATATTAATGTTGGCGCTGTTCACTAACTACTTAGTACTTACATACATTTGAAGTTCTTTGAATTTATCCTTTCATCGGTTCATCATTTTGTAATCCCGTGAATTAATACTAATTAAATTTCGTCGATATGAAGCGACGATAAGACATCTGTCGCTGAAGAAGATCATTCGAATGATTGGATTATGAGCGGCTAAGATTAAAATGCGATTATTTAATTGATAATAAAATAAAGATTACAGATATTCTATTCGAGTCACCGTGGAATCGGTAATAATGCTAAGCCTTAACAAAGCCGTCACGGAGTATTATCGCATTTAATATTTCGTTTTGTTACTTTTTGATATAACCGTGAATTAAACATGATGTCGTTTTGGTACAAACTCGGCGTTGGTTTTAAAAGTTTCAAACTGAAAGCAAAAGAGTAAAAAATACAAATTCACATATCACCTCACCATAGCGCGAGCACCTTATTTATATCTAAATAAGGTTCAAGTAAATATAAAACTAGGTAAACTAATATAGGAAAGGTATTATTAATTCCATAATTTGCGTTAGAAAGCTAAAAGCGAGGGCTAAAAGCAATCCTTCACCCCTCGGCCCCGGAATGCCAGGACCGTTACACAAATGCCGGGCCCCACCCACATCAGCTGCTTCGTAGAATGCAGCATTGCATTCACTTTGAGGGGCCATCTCCGAGCACATGACAAAACGATCTTAACACTTGATTTTCTGCAAAATTTAAAAGGTCTGTTTGATAATAAAGCCAGTTGTAGCACCTGAAATTATGCTATGCTTTTTAATGGTTTCCATTGGTGACTGTGATGGGTTTAATAAATCCACATTGTGTTTTTAAATCGAGTATAGTAAAAGACGACTACATTGGAACTGTCACATAGTTTTATTAAAGCTATTTAAAGCGAAATGAAAGACAGACGTCACATGGCGTTTTATTTTATAAAAGTAAGTAATATCAAATAGAAATTGAACGTGGCAAAAACACCGCTTTCTTTTGATTACATGGTTGCGGTGCCGAAAAACCTTTTCCGTTATCAAAGTCAAATAAGAAAATGTTAAGGTTGAAAGCTTAAATGTTATATTTTCTTTGAGCAAAGTGACACAGTTGCTCGTAAAATTAAACGAGAAACGTCTTAAGAAAGATGAGGCTCATTTTCCAAATAAAATTTGCTCTCATTCGTTACTTTAGAGAACCCTTAATTCAGCCAGAGAACTGTAACACCAACCTATCATTTGATCCTCCAATGTTTACAAATATATTTTACACAGGCATTCATCAACAACCTCTTCAAGTCGTCTTGATCTTCGATCTTAATTACTTTGTACGTAAGTAGTTCTTATAATTATATTACAAGTTCTTAATTGGTTCTAATCCTTTCACCGATAAATGGTTTACAACACTTCCTCAGTATCAAGTATTTCAATTACAGTACCTTATATAATTATTGTTTTAGATACTCAATTTAGACTTTCATTTTCGATTATTGTACAAAACATAGCACTTGGTTTCAGATCCATCGATAGATACCTATAAAGGTTATTTAATAATCCCTTGATTATAAAATTTTGGGCGCCATTTATGAGACCAGCATAGATGTAACAGTCTATCCTTTTCTTCCGCTAATAATGGAACCAAAAAACATATGTCGTTTGAATTAGAATAACATTTATATTTCATTGCTATGCGTTTCGAAAGTCAATTCTCGTTTTTTATTATACTTCACTCGTATCTTTATTGCGGTATTATATTATGATACTCCAATTACATATATCGTGCAACTAGCAAGTGTTATGTTTTGTATTGCATTTTTACAATCACTCGTAATCTTTATAAACGACTGTTATCAGTATATCGTCTGATCTTTACAGCAATACTGGCAGCCGTCTCTTGATAAAATATGGAGACGGTACTGATTTTGATGAAATAGGTTCGTAGTATTGATGTAGGACTAATTAACGTTAATTGATGACAGACTTATTAAATAATTTAATTATAATGTTTTTTGTTATCCAGGTAATCGAAAGAATGTGAAATTTGATTAAAAAATTAAATTCAAGGTGGCTCATTTCTAGATGTGATAAAAAATCAATAGATATGATAGCATTTAAGAATGGAATAAAATATTTTTAATGAATTCTCAGCACTAACCTGGGTTTACTGACCCAATGTAGCATTAAGTTCGTGCCATAATATGACCAAATTATATGTCTACCTCCGAAAATGGGTTTTTATTGTGTAGTGCTCTAACCTTTCGAAGAAGCACAGGTGTGATCCAAAATGATATAATATAACAATTTTATAATAGTGACATTATGAAGATACTAGGAGGATTTGAGGATACCGGCTACAAAAGAAATCAATACACATGATGGAGCGTCGGGCGAAGTAAAAGAGACCTGCCACACACGCCGTATGCAATAAATCTTCTTTATGTTTGCTTACCAAATGTCGCCTGAAAATACAAAATACAACAAGCAAATTCGGACGGAGCCGATCGACATGCTTGCAACGTTCGGGCGTGGCCCTCGTATATTTTTATTGCCACACTTTGTCGGTGTAAAGGGACACTTAACTTTCGCACAGCATGGCGCACCATTTATTTATTCTTGTTATTTCTTATCAAATTCTAACATATTTATTATTTTTGTAGAACCACATCTAGAATAGAAAACTGACTCTTCCTGATCGATAAGTGAGTTGTCGTTCTATCGAAACCTTCCCTGACTTGCTGGTTATTTTCACCAAGTTAAATATAAACTATCCTGAAGACCAACAAAACGTTCGGTGCGTGCGAGATGCCGTGACTTAAGTAATTTATTACCGTATTCGTAGCATCTGCACCAGATTTTCTACTCACCAATGTAAGAGTATGAGTCAATATCGTTGAACGATTTACATTGTTTGACGATTCTTAGTCGCTCTAGTTAATCTAATGGCTGTCCTTCGTTTTTTCAATCCTTAGACTTTCTCTAAATAGAGTTAATATTGTCCCCCTCTTTAGTAGGGTTCTACTTCAATAGCCCTTTATTGGCTGTGAACTTAGTAACCGGTTGACTGCACTCTGATTTTACGATGCGTATGAATCAGCGACAGTGCATTCATTAAAACGGGATGTGGACGTGTGTAACAGGACCTTTCGTTTATTTCTCATGACTAAGGTATTGTACATCCCAGTCGCAGTTAACGATGGTATTTTTACGCCCTTAAATTAAAACGCTCGTTCGATGCCGACAAATTTATTGTTTTGCCTAAAAAGAGCGAACCAATCAGTACACTCATATTGAAACTACCAAGGGCTGATCTGGAACATCAGATATATTTAGATTACCAAACAAAACATTTGCAGGAGAGCATTGTTCCATTTAAATCAACTCACTTCAACTCTCACTCAATAGTTTAAAAATATAACGGTAAACTAAAATTCTTGGAATCGGTTTACTGATTTACTAAAAATGTTAAAAATGTTCTAGAAAGCATCAAGGCTTAGCGTGATAATCTAAAATACAAAAATGAAAACGTATTAACGTTAGACACAGTTTCAACGTGCATGTAGAGTAACATTTAAAAATGTTGTGGTTTGAAAACAGTCTGGCTCTAGTTTAGTTCACAAACTAAAAACATACAGGCACAAAAAGATATACGTGTTTTTACACTCACTCGAGAACCACACTCGAAATTCAAATATAATTTTTAACAGCGTACGAGAGAAGTTATCAAAACGCGGTGTTCGTAAGCGTTCACTTTTTCCACCACTTTATGCAATCATATTTAAAGTACCATCGAGAAAATTCATCAAACTTTCAGACTCTGCCCTGCAACTACTTTAAATGATATTTACCTTTGAATTTTCTTAACTCAATTTTAATATTTAAGTTTAGCGCAACTTATTTCACGTGTATATAATAATTGCTTTCTTTAGCTTGTCAATTTAAATGTTTTACGGTTTCAATAGCTATCTGAATAAGAAATGGTTTAGCTGTATATATTTCATCTATCTTTGCAAAAGCCGACTTGATTCAATCATAATTAGCTTTCACTTCTCACGGTGTATATCATTTACCAAACGTGACCAAAATTACGCAAGATGAAACCACTTTCTTGTCAGTGTTTATTTTGGAGTTAGATGCAACACGACGTCAAACGAGCAAAGGAGATAATTTTTTAACTCGCTACAAAAACGTAACGTGTTTTTTTTATCTATTTTAGCTTGAAATCTCCCAGATACAAGGATCCGAAGTCATAAGTTTCAAAAATTAATCTATGAAGACTGCTGGAATGTTCTATTTTTTTACTAATACTTTATAACGACTAACTTATATTAGTATGTCTAAACATCTTTATGTATAATTTTGTATTGTGACGGAATGTTTGAAATTCGAATCCATAGCTCCAACCCTCGCTAGAAAAGATTTATTGTTCTCCGTGTATTTTAAATTCATTGTTTATTTTGTCAATGGACATCTGTTTTGGTTGCTTCTTATCGTCACTAGTTTGGGTTTGTAATTCCGTTCCATTTTGTTTGATATTTTCCGCCTTTGTATATGTAGTCCGTCCCTTTCTTTCACAAGTTCGTAAATTGTGCTGTATCGTTTGCTTTGTGTACATTCGTTATCATATCAGCGACAGTGACATAGGCTAGTTCGACGGCTCTGCTAGCGTGGTAGCGTTCGACGCGCGCGCCCCCTACTGCGTTCCCCTCGCCCGCCCCCCACCGCAGTCGTCTCTGTTCTGAGTGATGCAGTCTGTATTGAACGTTCGTTGAAACCGCACGTCCATTTCGTTTCAAAAAAGCTTCACGATTCCGAGCTTTGTTCAAATTTTTAATTATGTGTTTATTTTTTGATCGTGAATAGAATTTACGGCAATATTTTAATCTGGCAATTGTGAATTTGTGATTGTAAAATTATTTTGTTTATCCTGTCGCTAAATAGTGTTTGTAAACGGATTCAGTAGTGTCGGCATAGTTTATTTAACTAAGTTCGTGACAGTGCTTTCCATTTATCTAAGGAATGTTTTTGGAGAATTGACATCTTAATAAATATAAAGGTTTGTTATTAAACTATTATGTGTAATTTTGAAGTAACTTAATATACCAAAGGAAATATTTCGAAATGACGTGTCTCTAGTAAACAACACTTGAGAATCCATGCAGTGAATGGTGATACTTGACTAATATTCTTTAATTCTTAGTAGATATGTTAGTTGATCACAGTGTTTGTAATGACATAAATATTTAATTATCCCACGATCCTATGACGGAGGGTGAATTCGTCGTGAGAGAGCGAGATAGTGCTACATCTACTTTAGAGAGGGGTTGCCAAGTCCATACAGTTACACGACAGGGATTTCCGTGTGAATACAAGCAGCCAGTTCGTTTGTGGAATACTTATTTGCTTCCTTTATTGTTGTAAAAATTTAAATGGCTAATTTTAATTAATTTATTCGTCTGTCATGCCAGTTGTCTTTACGGCAGAAATTGTTTACAGTATTTATGTCCAAAACATTTGACAATCACCTGGTTTTGCCCGACGCCCGTCATTGGGTATAAATTGAACAATGAAAAGCCGTTCTGGCTTCCTGTTGAGGTTTAAACAAGTTTAACTGGGACCCATATTACGGACAAGTTCCAACATGACTACATTTGTTAAGAGATTATTAAGCATGCTTATCTTTTAAGTGTGTTTTATCTTTAAAAAACCTGTTCATAATATTCAGTAACATTATATAACAGAAACACTGTGATTTTTAACAACTGGATTACTTTCACACGAGACAATACGTTCCTTTCACACGTTAGCTTTATCTCCCAAAGAGAGCTCGTTCTGCAAGTGGATATACATGCTTATACAATTTCGACGTTTTGCTATACAAAAAGTGGATGCTCGCCTACGATCACGCTTTCTACTCTAGCAAATAGATATTTTTTGCATGATGACTGGGATTAACACATTGTTTGTGGACGTATGCAAGATGATTATTCAATCCATAACTGATTTTAACACATTTAACGACGTCCTTAGCGGTGGTAATCTTAGTTTAAAATTAAAGGAGCATTCATAAATTTAACGAAATACTTTCGAAACCAAGAGTTATCGTCCCAATCTCCACAAGATGTTCACGTTGATTATGTGACAATAATGCTCATGTTTCCAAATTCGTATATGGTTAAAGAGCTGTTTCACTTGGGTTTATTACGACAGTGCTGTCCATGATGTTCACACACGTTTATTTAACGAGACGTGAACGTCCGGCGACCTAACAAGGGTCACTAGCTGTCAATTTAACTACAACCAAGTCTCTGTGCACTGTTCGTCATTTTGTATCGCTTAATTCATTCATGTAAGTACCTACACCTACGTAAATAGAAAATTAGACACCAAACGCGTTTCATAAATATGTTCGACTTTCCTAGAAATCTGGTGTTGGTGTTTGATTTCGTTGATTTCGTACTGTAGGTCAAATACAATATGGGTGACGTGTGTTATTTAAAGGCCATGTGATGTGATGAAATTGTTTTGTCATATCTATACGAGTATGATTTGCTTATTGTCTGCAACGTTCTCTTACAATCAATGTAGAGGACACTGACCCATCCGATCACTTAGTACCGATTTATTGTCTTGCTGACATCACTTATCAGTGTAATATATCTCACAATTTACATCTGTGTTATGGGCGTTTTTTAATCAACGCATCTCGTATTTGTTACTCGCACAAGGCCATCTTATTAAGCTCATTCTGTTAGATGGTCCACATAACTTGAATTTAAAATTCAAATCATCTTCAAATGCTTGTTTGATGAATCATGCTCTTATTGGGATGTAACCGCCACTTGTGACCACATTTCCGATTGAAGACAATCTTTCTTCACATTAGTGACTCACAATGTTATTTATTTACACTATTAACAAATTCAGTTAGTATAAAATATCTTTTGTGCCCAAATGAAGTACAAGGAACGTGATATTCACCAATTAAATTAAAAATATCTTATTATGCAAACATTTGCTTTTTACTGACCTAATAATCTCAATTCAACTTATTATCGCTGTGCTATATTTCAACAATCTACTGAATATATCGCTTAATGAAATGCTGCTTAACTCGTTGGCGACTGACCCAACGACTTGCGAATTCAAGCTGCGCATTTCAATGTAAGAAGGTTAACGATTTTTATTGTAACACAGTGAACCAAACGCAATGTGATTGATCATTACCTCTTTTTGTCGATCACTTTATTATTTGATTTGATCTAGTCGATTTGAACTCTCAATCTTAACTTAGAAGGCGTTTGTAGGTCATGTTTTATCCAAATGATATTTCATTTGAAGGAAACTGAATGTATAAGAGATTTTTAATTACATCTGAAAATGAGCATCTAACAATCGGATCAAAGGCCGCTGACCTGTCTGCCGCTCGGCTATTGAATCGGTGTTTGTCATTAATATTTATGGGCTGCGCACTCTTCCACCCAGCGCTTCGGGGAAGTAGACACCTTAGTGTGTTTGTCCATTACACCATCCACCAACTTGCTTGAATACGTGTTAATTATAGTCTTGAGATCATTTTTTCCAAGTATGTAACCTTGTCTTGGATATGGTAATTTCAAGCTGAAGCAACAAGATTTCCATTTCGCTAGAAGCTTTTTATTGTTCTGTCTAGCCAACGTGTATAACAATGTCGTACCGAATGATATAATGCGACCGAAGTCTGACGAATGCACCTCACGACGAGATAGTGTCTGGTATTGCAGTCACCATTTCCTGCCAGTGGCTTGCATCAATTTTGTATGGAAATGGATGGTGTTGCACCATGCAACTGGAGTGTAAATTCATGTTTTAGTGTTGACCTTCGGGAATTCGTCGACGTTGGTCTCTGTAACTCTCGCTTTGATGTCATGATCGGACTGGAAAGACATGTATTTGCGTTCGGTTGCGTGTGTGTTTATGAACAAACAGATAATTATCATAAATTCAAGAAAATACTGACGGACGGACGTAGGCCGGTGTTGGCTGTTGCAAAACTTACCGAGAACTTCCATGAACTCTCATGTCCCTCGGACGCTACTAGCATTGCTAATCTTGACACTAATACAACCACAGAATTACACGAATAATCACCCTACTGGGTAATTAACAACTCGCCCAGAGGTCCTAGTAACAAAAAGAGAGTGAAAGTTGACTTTGGAACACACACGAAAGATAAAAAAGTAATTTTTCGTGTGAGTACCTAGAATTTCTTATGGCGTATGTATTGCCGAGATACCTAATTAAGTTTGTGGTCTGTGGAAGAGTTAATAAAGTCAAGGCTCCATGATAAGTATCTGCTGTCATTTTACTGTATATAAATCATCAAGTATATTGCAACCTTCTAGTGCCGGTCACAATAGTTCAGGCAATCAGTTGATAGAAACGTCAAGATAAAATATGACAAGATTGTCTGACCGTACTGTAAGTAGGATCTGATGAGAACGTTCTGATATAATTGACAATGGTCAAGTCTTTGAATGAGATAATAATCACAATTTAATGCTTATGTTATAAAGCAATCACCAAGCATGCAAGGTGAAATACTATGTTCAGAGGTAATTAATTAATTGTAGATGCTGAGAGGTATACCTTGTGTAGGTAATTTAAGTATGGTGTAGTTAATCATGGGCATAGTTAAACCCTCAGAATACAGAACAATAAACCTAACCAACGTGAATGTTTTCAAATAATAATCAAGTAAGGGATCACGTTTCCTCTGAGCTATTGAAAGAAACAGGAAAAATATTTACAAACCATCCATTCCGGTACTAAAAAAACAATCACACAAAAACCCCCAGAATTGTTCATTTATACCAAAATATTGATCCTGGTATTACGTCGCGCTCCTCGAACAGCGTTAAACAATACATGTTGATCAAAGATTGTGATGAAGAAGACACAAACAAAGCTAGCGATAAAACAAAGCCGAAACACAAGATTGTATCTCGCAGTTAATGTTTACGATATTATTGTATTACAGAACGAAATGTAATTACGGTAATTCAAGTCGTGACCACGTTGCATGGTACAGGAAAAGTTTTTTCCCATGTTTGTATGAACGGAAGCGCTATTTGTTGATAGACTGCACGAGAGTGGTTCAGGAGATTACTGACATTAAAACACTTGTTGATGGTAGCTTGGTGATGACTTTCGGAACACGATGTGATTATTACACGGTAATCTCCGTGCCTAAGTATGGTGTTATGGAGGTCGGATACGTCAGCCGTCAGCCATACATACCGCTTGTCATTATGCGATTGTTTCAAGGATACTTCAATATGTAGATAGGCTATGAATGTATGATATGCATGCCCATAGTTTCCTGAAAGGATTAATAGATGCGTTGAACTGAAATTCTGTTTCTTCCGCCCACAAATATTTCATAAAAGTAATTCACGAAATCAAAAAAGAAACAAGGCGCTTCGGCACTACCTTGATTGTTTTTGAGGACCTAAATTAGTCGTTACCTTTATGAAATTAACTGTTAATCAAGTATTAAAATTCTTTGTTTAATCTTCCATAGGATAAGATCTTTATGGCTCCATACCAAATATGTAGCAGAATATTTTATCAGTGACATGTTAATGCTCGTGGCATTTCGAAGGGATACTTAAGCATTTAAAGGTTAATCGCTTGTGGGTTATTAAAAACTTTGCTAAGTGTCACGAAATGACGATGCCCCTGTAAGAAACCTGATTTCATTTTAATGACTCTTTTTTTAATTAATATCTGGGTCTATGTACTTAATTTTAATAGAGTAATCATTATATACAACCTACTTCTTAATTAATTTTGAATTTTCGGCGTCCGAAATCTTCTAATGAATTCATCAACTAAAAGCTATTAAACTTTGCTAATAATAAATTACACAGCTTTGTTGATCTACTAAATGGTATCTTAGACTATATCGAACTACTTTCTTTTGTAAGGTCGAGTTTTATGTTGCTCGAGCTCATTGAAGGATTCCTACATTGCTTTTGAAAGTTTCGTTGTTCTAACAGTCGCTGAGTTCAAAAG